ATCCGTTATTAGTTGCTGAAACAAACAGGGGTCGCCCCAATGTAGTACGACTTATCATTAAAAGTTTTCAAACGTATTTGTAACTTAGGTCAGCCGGGACGCTGATTGTAAAATTTTTTTACAACGGGTGCACATAAACTTTAAACTGGTGGGGACGGCAATTCGCATACATAAGTTACGTTCTACAAGCAGACATAAATTGCAACAAACTAAACAATAATAAAATAATAATTGTGCGCTCTGCAAAAATTATAAAAGAGAGTGTAAGGTTAAAGACTTCAGGCTTATATGATTTTAGTAAATAAGTTCCGAATTACGGACAAGACTGTGGGACAAGCGACGAACAAGATATGCGATATATATTAATACAGTACGAGGCACCGTCTTGCAAAAGGATTGTCTGGGTAGCTCTAGTAAAATAACGTTAATAAAGACCTCGTGTTCGTACTAAGCACGTTATGTTTTCTTCAATTACACTCATCGTTTGAAGTAGGGAAAGAAGGGACTACTAGCAGGAGCGCCAAGAGGGGGCCAAATTTTTTCCTGGTGTAGTGAAGAGGAGCTGTGTTTCGGACTATAAACCATGAAGAAGACGAATAGTGGAAGAAAGGATTCGCTCGCGGAGGACTCTAGGACGCATAGTAAGTTGTCAACTGAGTTGGGTGACGGGTGCAGCAGACGTGACCACGAGTCAAAAAGTCTGAGAGGTTAGAGTTGGATACGGAACGCATCGATATTAAGACGTTTTGTGTATGTGGACGATCCTAATTTTTAATACAGGGTAGATTTGTTACTTTCACCATTAATAATCGACATTTCCTCTTTACACGTGTAAGGTTCGTTTCTGTACACCACAATTATGACGTTTAACTTAAGTTTGTATTTCCGCGGCAACTTGTCTCGACGGTGTCGTTTCACATTTCATCGTGACTTTTCTTGTAATTTGAGCCATTTTTTCATTTCAGGTCGGAACTTACTTGTAACACGACAAAGGGTTTCACTTCGCACGCGACGGTTTACCCGCATACCATGTAGTTGTCGTTGAGAGTCTCGGGCGAGCCCGAGATAAGTCGGACTGTGGTTTCTTTTTCTCTAAGTCCTCAAGTTGCTCGTGGCCATCAACCTCTTTCCTAAGAGACGTAAGTATAGAGAGAAAGTTCGTTCGAAATGCGGCCGTTGAGCACCGTCAGCAGATAACCGTAGACTCTGTAACGTCGTCATTTGTAATTATTCTACAAGACATCGAATTGTCGACTATTGTGGGGCGCCCGAGATTACTGCACACCGAAAACGGAGACCCGCGGTTACATTTTCTCACGCTACCCAAAACTCTTAATTCCCACATCGCTCTTCTTGACTCCGCCCGTACCAGAACGAGTCAGTAGCACCCCGTCGCGACTTCTCGGAGACAGCACCTCGACGGGTTCGAAACACTTTTTATCTCGTCTATATCTGCACTTTGCACATGTCTCCCGTGAGAATTCGGGCCAGTTTCCGGGTGAAGCGAGAATGTTATTGTTGGATATGGTCTAGGCCGGAGGCACGTAATGCCGAGATTTGACAACCCTCGAAGAGCTTTACGTGTAATAGAGAACCAATTTATGTCCACTATACACGACATGCACCTAAGTTTCACAACTGGCTATTACGTGTAGTAGGGGCAAGCGGTGAGTGGGACTTAATACTTGTTTCGTAGCGTTGTTGTGCTGTTTGTTTGGTTCGTGTCAATATTCCTGCCGATTAGGCGAGAACTTACACTAGAAATCTACAAACTTTAAGAAATGTGATACAATGAAGTTATCCGTATGTCAAACGGTACGGCTAGTTTCTTTTTCTCGAACTTGACTCGCATTTATAAGTGGGCTTTGAGTGGGTCGGGTTTGATCCATTGTCCTTGTCGACTGCACACGGGTAACATTGCGTGGATCTACAAGAACGTAATTATCCAAGTGAATCGAATTTTCTTTGAGCGACTAACTTTCTCCCTTTTTGTTGTCTGGCTATAGCCGAATCGTAACCATAAATCGTCACTCATACCTCCCGGTCTGACAATGGGACGCCTATACGTTATCCCTTGACTCGAAACTCTTACTTTTTCGAACACGTCGTAATTCGGAGGGAAACGGTCTGTCTAGTAAAGAAATCTTTTCACTGTCAATTTGTTAAGTTACGACACTTCCTGTAACAGTACGACTTTCCCCATGTAAAAGTCCAACCTAGGCTTAAGTCCACGCTCGAGGAATTTAACGACAGTGTGCCTTTAGCGTCCTACTTAGGACGTCTATTTAATTTTGGTTTAGTCCTCAAGTTTTAAACCTCTCCTCTGAGTAGAAATTTTTTTCCTCGTGTAGGTCACTAAATCACTCGTGAAAGTATCATACTCCTTCTTTGGTTATCAAATATTTTTCTTTGCAAGTTTTAGTTCGCGTCTAGGAAACTGCAAATCGGGACAACATAAATAGCCGACGGTTCATGACCGAACGGAGTGAAGTTTACGTTTGACCGTTATATGACCGTACGTATTAGCAGTTCTTGACAATGTCCTACACATTAAGAACATTTAACATTTTAAAACTGTAGCTAGTGTTGGGTCAATATTGTGTCCGAAAGAAAAGTTACACATCTCAAGGAGGTTCAGTGTTTCATCGATTGTAGTACTGAACAGATATAGACTACATCACGGGGGAATTCCATTCTTCTCAGGGTGACTGTTGATTCTGACCCTCCTGCGACGTCCGTCCACCGACCTGAAGAGGAGAGGCAGGCGAGACACGGCGTCTCTAAGTGTCGGTTGGGGGGGTAATCATAGACTGCCCTTAACCCCAGCTAAGGGACCCGACCGGAAACGACACGGCTTACCCCCAGGCCGCTGAAGACTCCCGACACGCCCGTGCGACGCCCAGGCCGGCGGCGACGGAGAGTCGCCCCGACACACGCCTCCCGCCGCAGTCACCCGTTTCCCGAAGTCAAGGACCATGACGTAGCATTTAGATTGCTCACCGACCCCGACGAAGGCTCCTAACCTTTTCCATTACTCCAGCAGGGTTGTTGACCCCAGTCGTACTCCCCCGTACCCCGTTTCTCTAGAGGACAAGCCTCCCCCACCCAGAGATGTCCTTTCCCTCCCGAATCTAAAGCTCCACCGTGGGGGAATCATTTCTTATGATTACATTTTCCCACAGGCCAACAACAGCTTCAAATACGATTTCCCTCAAAGAACAAACCAAACATGCCCTGTTGTCTCAAGAAACAAAGTGCAGAAGGAAACATCCATGTAAACTCAGTGTGCTGCTCTGTGATGCTAGTTCAAGCAGATACTTGGCATCTCATCTTGGGTGCAAGGTCATCAATGTTTGGGGTCAGGCTCTGAGCTGAGGAGACCCTCAGGATTGAGTGAAGGTATGCGTGCAATATACCGGCGGGCCAGATCTAATAGTAATTAGAAATGATCCTGCGGGCCGAAATTAAATCCACCAAGGGCCTGATTTGGCCCCCGGGCCTTGAGTTTGACACATGTGCTCTAAAAGAATGTTATATTGGAAAGATTCAACCCAAACATGTAGGATATACCATTCAATATGTGTACAAGCTCTACTTAGACACTATTATATAGCCACAAGTAGACTGTTGCTAAAATGTCAAAGTTGCCCTTGACCCTTAAAATATAAGAATAAAGGTATAATTTTAAAATATAACACATTATTATTGCATTTTCTCCTGGCTTGGGTTTTTCTTTGAGCTAGATAAACTATAAGATTGTAACGGCATAAAACAGCATTATAATGTTGTTCCTATCACTGTAAACACAATGTTATTTATAATGTGCAATTGAAGCACGTGTGCACATTATAAGTGTATATTGAGTGTTGACAAATATATAAAATGTAATACTTAGGTTGAAATGTTCTTATACTTTCTTGCAACTACATAGGGTTTTTATAAACCATTATTTGATTTCTGTACAGGGCTCATACTTAAACATATTACTTTGAAACTAAAATGTTGATCTCCCTGCTGTATGTCTTATAAACCACGATGTGTACTTTGAAGTACTTATTGCAGGGTTTACTTTTAGTTTTTTTACCATGAAGCCATATCTAAGGATGCACTCGGTGATCCCTGCTTTTCTTTCTCACACATCACATAAACAGGGAAAGCCAGGAATGTTCATTCCTCCTTTTCTTAATTAGCCGAGCCTGGGAGCTCTCAGGAGACACAAAGAGTTTGACTGCCTTTGTTACGCCGGTGGATTGAGCGGTTACCATGGCCACGAGTAAAGTAAAAGCTCAGAATTTGTAAAGTTGAAAGCAGAAAGCTTCACAGTGCCTTGGCCTTTTTCTATTCACTAGACTTCTTCTTACACAGAGTTCCTTATGCTTTCTGTTTCCTCTCATCGCTTGTGTTTATATAAAAGCAGTGGTGTAAAGTAACTAAGTAGATTTACCCAAGCACTGTACTGAAGTACCATTTAGAGTTACTTGTACTTTCCTTGAGTATTTCAAAGTTTTCTTCTGTCCAACTACAATTCAGAGGTAAATGGTGTACTTTTACTCCACTACATTTATTTAATACCTTTAGTTACTTTGCAGATTTTGTTTAATAATATAATCAAGTGTTAAATCAGACTTTAGTTCCACCTGGAGTAAATTCACAAGCTACGCTGCAGTATACAAAGTCATTCAAACTAGCTGCACCTTTACCAGCTTTGATAACACTTTAATGAATCAATAATTTAATCAAAACATATCATACATTATTCTGAAATGGACCAATCTGCACAATGACTACTTTTACTTTTGGGACTTTAAGTATATTTTGATGCTTAAAGTTTTGTACTTTAACTTGAGTAACATTTTGATTTCAGGACTTTTATTTGTAACAGAGTATTCCTACACTCTGGTACTTCTACTTTTAATTAAGTATTTAGATGTTTTGACTGTTCAAAGTGCTGAAGTGGGATCATTTTAAACATTATTTCCATTGTTTTCTTCATCAGGAGATGCCACATACCTCGACATCTTCCGAGAATTTTCCCACATGGCATCCCACAACCCGGAGAAGCTGAAACGAAGGAGTGTTCACTTCAGGCACTCCTTCAGGTAGTCGGTAAATAAGCAGAGGAACACAACGATGTACTTGAAAAGTGCAACAGCCACTTTCCATATTCTCACAGTTACTATCAAACCTTAAAGAAAAAGCATAACGTGTTACAAGTTACCCAGTCTGTTTATTCAGCAGAAAAATTCACATTTTAATCCTTTTAAGTGAGAAATCGTTCATTTTTGGATGCTGTTCGCTGGTCATTATCCTTCAATTTCATATCAATATCATACAGTAGCATTATATCCGCAAGAGTCTTGTGCTGTTCTTGGATCAACGTTTTATATTGAAATGAGGATTTTGCTGGTCTTGTCCTCTTAAATGCTTTTACAAATAAATATAGCATTGCTTTTGTACAGTGTTAGATACAAATTGTTTGGATAAAATGTCAAGCACTTGTTATTTTCTTTAATCGTTGCCATTTCTTTGCTGTATCAGTTTCATTATTCTGATTCATTGAAGGATTTATTTTACATATACATTTGTGTGTGTGTGTGTGTGTGTGTAATGCATGCATTTACTCCCATTATATTTCATACTTGAATTCAGCTATGTTGTATGGATAAAGAGTGTCATTTCATCAGCTATCATCAACAACCATGAAGTTGCAGTATTACTTTCCGTTTATTTTGTTATGAAATGTTGTGTTTTTTTTTGCATTGACTATGCTGGTGTAGTCTTTGTATTACTTTGTGTAATTTGCAGTACCACTATGAAATGCAGTGCTTATGTTACTGTATGTGTTGTAGTAGCACACTTGATAATATATCTGTATGACTATGAACAGGAATGCACGTGAAAGATGGATGAAAAATAAACTTGTCTGTGTTTACACAAAATGCATGAAGGGAACTTGTCTATGGTTTGGCCACACAACTGTTTAACATCTCACTGTAGCTGAACAGCAGCGACCCCTTGTGTTGAAATAAGAAATCTGCTAGAAACCTGTCGTTCTGCATTAGAGGTTTAACCTTTTTTTATGTTTTAGTTGGCTTTGAATTTCCCTGATTTCTTTTATATGTTTTACTATTCTACTATCTATACGTCCCACTGCGTTTATCATACGGAAAGAGAGAAATAAGAATATTGAAAAGGAACAAGGAAATACTGGAAACATTAAACTGCTTAAAAGTGCTCACCCTACTGTACAGTTTGTGTGTCAGAGGTGGGAAGTTACTAAATACATTTACTCAAGGACTGTACTTGAGTACAATTTTGAGATACTTTTACTTTACTTGAATATTTCAATAATATGCTGCATTTTACTTTTACTCCACTACAATTCAGAGGTAACTCGTGTACTTTAACTCAACTACATTGTACCTTTAGTTACTGTACAGATTTGGATTAATGATGTGAAATATAATCAACTCTTAAATCAGACTTTAGTTACACCTGGAGTAAATTCTCAAGCTACCCTGCAGCATACAAAGTCATTAAAACTAGCTGCACCTTTACCAGCTTTGATAGCACTTTAATGACCAATAATTATAATCAAAACATGTCATATTATTCTGAAATAGAACAATCTGCATAATGAGGACTTTTACTTTTGGTAGGTATATTTTTGAAGCTGATACTTTTGTACTTTAACATTTTGAATGCAGGACTTTTACTTGTTACAGAGTATTCCTACACTCTGGAACTTCTACGTATTTTATTCAAATACAAGATCTGTGTACTTCTCCCACCTCTGGTGTGTGTATATATTTATTAATAGTGATGACATTCTGTGAAATTGTACGATTTTTTGCTCTATCCCTGCGACCGTTGACGCATGTTACGTAGGCTCCGTTACGTCCACTCAGTAGAAAGCGTACGTACAGTGGTGGTGATGATGATGATGATGATGATGATGAAGATGATGGAGCTCTGTCTAGTCGACAGTGCTCATTATGATAGTATCTGACATTTCCTCTGACATTGTGCACATTCTGCTCGCTTCATACACGATGTGACTGCGGCTGTCAGTCCCTTATGACTGGGATGTGCGTAGCTAGCTAACGTTAGCCTGTTAGCTTAGCGCTCATCCATCCATCCTGCTACAGCGAGAGAGAGCTCGAGCGGCAGCTGGCCAGCAGCTCCCTCTGATCGGCTGCAGCAGCAACACACAGCCCGGTGTTCTTCTGAAGAGGAGATGGATGATGATGATGATGAGACCTTAAATATCAGATCGGTGTGTTCAGTCATCAAATACAGGTATTGTCACTCGTTAATGTGTATCCAGAAATTCCGTTATTAGTCCCACAGCAAAAGTGGCATAGCAGGTAAAAAAGGCAAGCAATGATAAAAAGGGAAAGACACATTAGTAATAAAGAAATAAAAAAGACAAATAAGTACACAACCATGGCCAAAAAAAAAATGTGGCAGCAGTTTAAAATAACTAAGTGAAATAAATAACATATTAGAGTGTTGATACCTTATTAAAATAAAACTTGTGGGACTGTTTTTTAATTATCAGACAGTAGTTACATGTTATAAGGCTTATGCACAGTTGAAGTGAACAGACAGGGGCCAAAAACCAAGACCCTGACCCTAATTGTGTGTGATCAAGGTGAAAATTAACGTAACATTCGAAAAAAGACATTTTTAATTTACTATGTTGTAAGACAACTAAAAGCTTTATGCTGCGTTCAGACCGGACACTCTGAACTTTAAGAAGCTTTCATCTTTAAAATGTTGCCATGTTTTGCTTTAAAAACTACCATAGGCAAAAAGCACACTTCAGATACTCAAGGTCCTTGAGATGCTTCACGCTTTGAAATTTCACCGATATCTGTTACGGTTCTTCAACAAAACGTTCACATGTAAGAGGTTTATCTCTCATTCAGAACAATGGAAACCTCTGATCTCTGGACACCTCGTTAGCTCACATTATAAACACCTGTGTCATGGAACACGATGATGTCATCACTCCAACTGACATGCTCAGGGCAGCAGACTTCAGATAATGGGTGATGGTCAGGGGAGCACATAACTTTTTTGCGGAGCACCTGGAGATGTTGCTTGGTGCTCATCCTTAAAAAGAAATAAACCGTAACTTTATTTGCCAGACACACGGCACTGAAGACACATGCAGAGGTGGACACAGAACACACATCCAGAGGTGAACACAAGACAACATTAGCACGACCAGTAATCCTACAAGCTCTCATCACTACCCTCCTGACTGTTCTCCTCACTGTCTTCCTCTCTGTCAGATATGGTAGCTGATGATGTAGGCCTACTACTTTCTCTCTGGTTGAGTCTGCGATTAGCTGCTTGCGTCCACAAGTCAACAGCTGGTTTTGGGTCGAAAGTCTCTGTTGTCATCAGACAAGAGAGTTGATGTAATCGAATAAGTATGTGAACATAACCAATAACCTACCATAGCCAATAACAAATGAATGTAACTTTTATTTGGTTTAGTTTTATTTGTGTTGTTCATTCATATCTTATTTTACCTTAACATTTATTTATGTATGCATATTTTTTTATCGCTCCAGTTTTAAAGGATATTTGTGGTTACTGTCCTATAGTATACATTGGAATGATTTCAAACCTGTTTATCCCAATAATTATAAAGGAGTGCCTTGGAAATGTGTGTTTACATAAATTGTGACCAAACCGTTTGAACTTAGACTAAAGTTAACTATCTAAACACTCAGAGTCCTTTACCTCACTGAGCTGTAGTTATCAGCCTCTCAGTCTGACTGGAGAGGACTCTCCCTCCACATTATTGTAGAACAATCTTCTTCATGTATCCGTTAGAGCAACTAGCACCAGATTCTAATAACAACAGCGCCGGTACCGGTGCACCCTCCCTCTCTCCCTCGCTCACTCGCATTTTGGCTGTGAGCTGCGGGCGCCAGATAAGCCAACATCCCATTTTCATCACTTACAGCGCCCATCGTACAGGGTGAATGAAACGTGTAACCTGGGTGAAAACAGTGTTACATTTACTTAATTATGAATATTGTTACATAAAGGCCAAAAATTAGGATGAGCCCCAACGGTCAAACATGTTTTTTTCCCTCCCAGAGCTGCCAGCGTAGCGCCCCCCAGATCTGGCGCTCTAGGCGAACATCTATTACGCCAGTGCTACGGGCCGGCCCTGAGTTCATATCATAGGTTCATATGCAACCTATGCAACTCGCAAATATATTTCTCTCTCTCTCTTCTTATGCGCACCATTTATGTGCAGCACTGCATATTAGGCTAGCAAGAACATGTTTACAATTGCAATGTTATACGGGTAGTCTGCTGCATTCGGTCATTCATTAGCTGGCATAAAAAACAATGTTTTCCCTAGCATGTCTAGCTCTTGGTAGCCTTCTTTTTTAGCTCGATGGTATACACGCTAGGAACGCCAACGATAATGTAATTACGTTTTGCGACTGTAAATCACCCGGAGTATACTGTCTGAGTATTTTGTGTTTGAATGCAGACATTCTCCTGCTATGAGATACATGTAAGGCCATCTGCTGACATTGGAGTTGATATATGGAACTTAGTTAGCCCAGTTAGCACTGTGTCAATGGCTTAGCATCCCGAAAAACATTTACGCATTTACACAGTCGTGGTAGATACCTTGTTTGTTGTAAACATCATAAATACAGAAACAACAATGAATACTTACAGTTTGTGTACCCGAATCTCCCGCCGGTCCAAACAAAGTAGGAACAGCATCGTTCTTCAGTGCCCTACGCTGTACATATNACAAAGGATTGGCTGTACCTGTTGCTTCAGTGTAAAGAGGATCAGTCTTAACTTGTTAATTGTAGCTGAGCATTAATGCACCGTTAATTGATCCCATTGAGGCCACTTAATGCAATAACACCTGGTTAAATAAAATAAGAATGAATAAATATACTCTATTAAAAAACGAAAAATAACTAATTCTGCATAAAGTAAAATTATTTTCCAAAATTCTTTCACTAGATGTGACAGTGATGAAATTAACGACTAATTAACAAGTTACATCTTCTCCAAAAAAGGCACCAAATTAAAGGACCTCCTTAATCTCACTCAAATAAATCTCGAAATAAAAATGCTCTAGGTTACTGGAGAAATACAGCACTGCAGCCGCCAAATTGAATTGATTGAAAACTCCAATATCAACGTAAGAGCTTGTGCCTATTCGGGGGGTGCTAACACTTAACCATAAACGTTATCCTTTACTTTCTCCGTCTTTATATGTAGATATTACTTTTCTCCGTTAATCTCCGTCACGTTGTTTCCATAGCAACAACAATTTCCTGTCAACAGCGCTACCTCTCCTTCAAAATAAAAGCATGTCCATACAAAATAGGAAGCCAAGCCAAATTACACTTAAGACATATACAACTGCAACGAAAGTAACAAACACAATGCGATATCCTTTTCAATTTCAAAGAACACAAATTGGGTTACATTAACAAAATAACTATAAAACAAAAATACTGTAGAATAACAAAATGAATGCCGTGAATAAACCGAAATACACGTGTTGAAGCGGTTCGCGCGGGCCGAATATTCGCTGCTGATTACTGACCCGAGCTCTCCCCCGGCTGGCTCTTTACAGACGGCACGATGACGGCCAGAGGCTGGGCGGGCTGCGGGGGCGTCTTGGTGCTCAGAGGGGGGGTCTTTGTGCTCAGAGGGGGGGTCTTGGTACTCAGAGGGCTGCTGGTGGAGGAGTCCGAGTCATGCACCGTCACGCAGCTGATCACGTTGGTTCGCTGGCTCGTTCCAGAGCTGCAGGAGAGGGAGATAACGATAATACGATTATACTTTAATGGTCAGATAAAAAAAAAAAAAAATTCAGCTAATTAAAAACCTCTCAGAGACAGGAAGTGAGCTCACCAGCCAGCGGGGAACTTCCTGTCGTCCTCGTCCTCCGAGTCACTGTGGATGGTGATGATGCTGACGGCGGGGCTGGGGGTGTCGGAGATGATGATTGGCTGAGACTGATCACCAGCAGGAGGGTTCTGGAGCACAGTGGCCGACGACACAGGCCTGCAGGGAAGAGGGTTTTTTAATAAATATGTTTCGTAGATAACTTTTTTCTCATCTCAATTTGTTTTTTTGTGAAGCACCTTGAGATGACGTTGTTTTTTGAAGTGTGCTATACAAATAAAATGTATTATTATTATTAAGATGCTCACTGTTTTATTCCAAATATTTATTTTAGGTGACCTGCCACCTATTCTGTTGCTTCAAACTACTGTTATATTACCATTGTTATAAATATATATAAATACTCAAACATGAGTAAAAAGAGACTTTTTGGGACTATTTTCAGAGGCAGATTAATCTAGTAAATACTTGGGGCATCAGTATAGTGTACGTGGGGTTATTTCTAAATAAACTACCCTTTGTGTGCTCATGGTAGTGAAATAACATTTCACCCAGACCAACAAAGTGGTTTTTGAACGACAATGGAGCTCTACAGTATGTCTCAGAGGAATGTTAAATATATGGCTTTGATACACGGACACAATTGTTAGAAGTAGTTAGTTGTATCAGTTACTGTAACTGTTGGTTTTGGTATTACTATTGGAAACTTCAATTCTTCACAATTTGCTAACTGCAGGATAAAGGTTTAATGGATATCACTGCAGCCCATTGAACAAGTAGATATGAAGCCAGGTAACAGACCACCACCACTACAATTTATGGACGCCCCCCCCCCGTGCAGATGATGTGGATGTAAGGCAGTGTGACAGGAGACCTGGCTCTGTTCTCTACGTGTCGAGCCTTTGCCCTCTTGCCCTGTTGGGGTCTGGAGGCAGCGTGGCTTTGGGAGGCAGCGTGACCAACGCCATCGAACTGGCTGCCATGACGACCCCTGAGAGAAGGACGGACACACGTTATTTATTTGAAACTGCAGCTATGACTGACTGACCTCACAGAGATACATTTTCTTTTAAGTTGTAATAATACAATGACCTGAAGGTGTGTTTTAACATGCAGAATGAAGTCCTATGGGATTAAACTCACCTCCAGCCAGAGCCTTGTTGACTGTCGGAGGCCATGGGGGGGTCCGGCAACACGTTCTGCCCCAGGTTATGGAGGGCCATGCCGGGCATCTGCTGCCAGGTGGAGGGGATGAGGATCTGCTGAGTGCCAGCTGGCCAGCCCTGCTGCACACACACACACACACACACACACACACACACACACACACACACACACACACACACACACACACACACACACACACACACACACACACACACACACACACAGAAATATTACAAGAACCCTAAAGTTCAGGATTGAAACTTTAGGAAATAAAGAAAATACGTGTTCAGGTTCAGGTTCTTATGCCAAGCATGCAAAGCCGTAAAGATAAGGTCCAGAAAGAACAGAGCCCCCCTGAAAGTTAAAGGATGTGTTAGTCTGGGACGAGGAGAGGAAGAAAGTGAGTTGTCTCTTGGAATAAATTCAACCTTTTTGAAAAACAAAACAAAAATAGAGAAAGCTTATAGAACATTAAAACACAACAGTATTTTTTTTACATTGCAGTTTTAAAAACATATTTCGCTAGATGTGATGAAAGGAATCTTTTAAAGGAATAGTATACAATTTTTGGAAACAAGTTTATTTGTTTATAGCGGAGAAAGCCTAATACCAACTCTGAAAATAGAGTTTTATGCTTCTACCACCTGAAGCAGAAAGCAAAAGCATTAAATCACATTGTGCGCATGCGTCCATCGTCCAGCTGCAGTCTAGACATACATTAGGAGAGAACAGGAAGAAATAAGAGCTGTTATCCAGTCGTGATGATGGTGTTTTACCAGCATGGAGGCATTGTGAGCCAGTAAGCCGGCAAAACTCGCACATCTGCAGCCTAAAGACGGCAACTCAGCCAGAGAGGCGTACAGACTGCCCACCAGCAGGGGGTCGAGTGAGGCCTGGGGGGAGCAGTGGGGGGGTGTTTAGACATGGTGGATACAGACCTGCTGCATATTCTGCTGAAACCTGATGAGATTCTTTGCATACAAGAATACAGATATTCTAAATCATTAGTGGGGGTTTTGATTTGTGAAGAGAGTGGAGAGTTGAAAATACATTTCCTTCAGAAAGGTGTTGAAGTTAACAGTAACATAACATGGAAATACTCAAGTACGGGTACCTTACACTTTTACTTGGGTAAATGTACTCAGTTAAATGTCATCCCTGCTCCTGCTGGTGCTTATGGATACTGGAAGAAGAGTGTGTCCCACCTGAGCCAGCATGCCGGGCTGGATGTGCAGAGACTGGGAGTTCTGGTTCTGAGGACCTAAGGGGACGGAGCTGTCCATCCTCACTGGAAAACCAGAGGGCTTACTGGATGTCTGGAGACCTGGAGGGAGAAGAAGAAGGCAGGTGATATTGGTTAATTCAATGAATATATAATTATAAATATAGAGGCTAGGAAATATAGGGATAATGTAGCAAGTTGCATAACATATACACAGGCAAGGCTACATTTAAAGCATTAAGACATAGAAACACTTTATAAAATGTCATTAGAGTACATTTAAAAAACAGTCAAGAGAGAACACAGGACTAGAAAAACAAAAAAGAATAAGGTAAACAATCTAACTCAAAATGCAATGTGAGATATGAAAGTTATTTGATTTAATAAACGGCAGCAGCAAAAATAAAATAATGATGCCTCGATCTAAAAGTTTCAATGTATTTTAAATGTTTGGGAAATATACAAATGTAGTTATTTCAACATTTTCTAGGTGACTATGAAATGATATTTATTGTCATTGACGCAACATGACACTAACATGTGGCCCTCTCACCCTGGATGGTGGGGGGGCAGACGATGAGGGTCTGCTGGAAGGGCTCGGTCTGGGTGCAGAGCTGGGGGGGGCGGGGGATGTTGATGGTGGCCTGCTGGTAGAGGCCGGGCTGGTAGTTGAGCAGCGGGACGTTACTGCTGAGGGACAGAGACTGGGCTCCTGCAGAGGACATCTGGAGACACAACGAGCAGAGACATTCAGATCAATGCCGGGAAATACGAGTCCAGTTCAGTAAGAACGTCTACGGTAAATGGACGGCATTTATACAGCGCTTTTCCAGCCTGTTCGACGCCTCAAGGCACTTTTACATATACAAGTCAGAACACACCCATACATACAGAATATGCAAAGGGACAATTTGCTTAAGGAAATGTATGCAGAATGAAATACATCCCACCTGTTCTACATCCTCTTGCACATAAATCTACAGACTCATTTACATACAGAAATGCACTTTAAATACCATAATGGTCAACCAAGTTCTCTGAAGAATTGCACTTCTATGCAATTACAAATGCTGCAGTTTAGGAATAACATATGCTTCTTCGTTCAATACATTTAAACAAATTTAACTGGTATTTAAAATAAAAGTTAGTGATTAAGTAACATTTTTGTACATTTCCTGAATTGAAAATAGAAATTCAAGTGTATGTTTAAAATAAATTGACTGTTTAATAATTAATTTTTTCTCTAAAAAACTGCAACAATGAAGAGGACCTTCTACCTACCTCTCACAACAACAACAAAATCCTCCATTGCAAAAAATATAACTCTACTCCAGATGAATTGCTCAATATTCCAGTTTATTACGTGGTTTAGTTGAATACTCGATTCTGATTGGTCAATTCAGAACATGTGACACGTTGTTAATCCAGAACAGACAGACCGCTGTCAAGGACTTATTGACCGTTGTTAAGGACGCTCACATCTGCACAAAGAAGTCCGGTCGATTGAACTGTATACAGTTTGGCTGAAAAGCAAACTGCATGCTTCGTGTCGGGATCCTGATCTGCCTGTCGGGCGTTCCTTTACCCATAATGACCGCCTCGCTGCACATTATCCCTTACTTATCTAACAGGTTGTACTCTTCAAAGAAGTCAGGTTCAACAATGGTTTGACTACTTAACTAAAAAGGCTGCTTTATAACCTTCAGCAGGTGAACCCCCCCGAGGCAGGACTCCTCACCTGGCTGTGCTGGTTGAGCTGGCTGCTGAAGGTCACGGTGAGGTTGGCGGCTGCACTCGACGTGGTGTTGCTGGAGAACATGTTCTTCCCGTTCTCAAAGGCGCTGCATCTGCGTTTGCATATGTCCATATTTTGGAAGCAGGATTTCATGCTGTAAAATGACATGAGAACAAATGGTGAACATGTGGGCTCGAAGTTGTTACGTACCTCGTCACACGAGGGGTTTGCAATAAGGCTAAGGCTGGCAATAAGAATGGCATAAACTAAAATGTTTTGTTTGGGTTAAAGTATGTGTGTGTGATGTTTCATTATATTTACTTGTATACTGTCTATTTTCATTATTATTTTGTTGTATGTCATTATTTTTGGTTTTATTTTTTTTTAACTTATTTTTATGATCTTTCTGTGGTGTGTTTGTCTACTCATTGGGGAAACCACCTGGAGGGGGAGGGGGGTGGGGTTTGCAACTTGTTACCATAAATGTTGGACATACTGTATTTGTGAAAAACAAAGTTGTTAAAAAAGAAAAAAATGGTGAACAAATGTGGAACCTAACTTCAGTCTTGATCCTCAGCGAGTCCTGCACTTACTGTGAGCTGTGAGGGAAGTGCAGCAGGTGCGTCATGGTAACGAAGGGGTGGTTCAGCGTCTTCATGGGCGTGATGCGTTTGTCTGCGTCCAGCGTCAGCATCTTCTTCAGCAGGTCGATGAACTCCCGCCGGTCCGCCTTCTCTGCCAAGATGTCCGTCCCCTCCAGGTTCGTCATGTTCACCTGCGGAGCCACAGGAAGTGGGTTTGTCAAACGGCTTCCTGGAGCACCCTAAACGATGAGAAGTTGAAAGGAAAGGAAAGAAGCTCACCTGCATCATATCATCCAAACAGTTGAAGATGTATTTCCTCGCCTCCTTGGACTTGATGCCCATCTCCGCCTCGTGCTCAGAGGACGTCTGCAGAGAGATAACCATAGCAACACTTCAGTATATGTACTGCTAATATGCTTAATGATAGACTCTTTAACTTAAAACAGTATTGTGTTGGCATCAATCTTTAAACAATACAAATATAAATGTGAGGGCTGATGTTGTGGAACGAACTGGAGGAAGGAATTAAAACATGACATCAGACAGTTTGAAAGGTGTACAAGAGGTTGAGTGTGAATGATACAGATGAACATAGAGGTTAAGTTGTGGGGATGGACTCCGTGGCAGATTGTATCAAACAAAGTTACAAAGTGCTCTCACATAAAAACAGAAACATTTACAAACTGAAAGTAACACACAAATAATTTGTTTTTAAAAGTGATTCGATAGGAATAGAAAAACCATGTTGCTTCATTTGACATGAAGTATCAGTTTATGTCGCCTATACAAAAATCCGTTGTACTGTACAGTATATGGAAACTGCTATTTAGTGGTTACTTTTGTTTTGTTTTCCTGGAGCTGCATTGCTGGATTACTACTTTGAGAATTGAAATAATTGTTTAATGTTTTTGTACGTTTTGGAGCCTGTTTATAACAAAGCTGTTACGTCCTTACTCTTTATATTTGAGGTCTTTGACCAGGGGCAATGCGATTGGATAGCTCACACAATCATTTATTTTTGTTTATAGTCTATGTTTCCTGCCTTCCTGCTTCAACTCACTTTATGTTCTTGGACTCTGTCTTGAGAACTTGTCCGTGTTAATGTTGAACTTGTTGAACATGTTTTAATTCAGGGTCAGTAATCCCCATCTGTGCAGAGTAACTCACTTTGAGTCTCCAGAGGGGGTAGCTGGAGTCGGGCCCTCTGTTGAAGAAGCGGCTGGTCTTGGTTCCTGCGCTCAGCAGATACTCTGCAGGGAGGCCCTGCGTCTGGGAGATGTAACGGATCTGAGGGAGACAACAGGAGAAGACAATCAGTTGCCTTTTGTTTAAACAATGTGTTAACATCACCTGAGGGCTTGTTCTCTGAATGAGGAATTGTGGGTTTGGATAAATACATGCAATGCGTGTGAAAACCCGCCACGTGTCGACAAACCTGCTTTAAGAAGGTTCCCGTCTTTATGCCAAGCAACCTGGCAGTTGGCCAAAGCTTCATAAAACGTATGCAAAACTTGTGAAAAACTTATGAAAAACTTGTGAAAGACTTGTGAAAAAAAGTGTGAAAAAAGTATGAAAAACGTATTACATTTTTTGAAAAACTTGTGAAAAACTTATGAAAAACTTGTGAATTTTTTTGAAAAACGTGTGAAAAACGTATGGAAAACGTTTGAAAACGTGTGAAAAACGTGTAAAAAACGTATGCAAAACTTGTGAAAAACTTATGAAAAACGTGTAAAAAACGTATGCAAAACTTGTGAAAAACTTGTGAATTTTTTGGAAAACGTGTGAAAAACTTGTGAAAAACTTGTAAAAAAACTTGTGAAAGACTTGTGAAAAAAAGTGTGAAAAACTTATGAAAAACTTGTGAATTTTTTGGAAAACGTGTGAAAAACGTGTGAAAAACGTTTGAAAACGTGTGAAAAACGTGTAAAAAACGTATGCAAAACTTGTGAAAAACTTGTCCACAAACATCCTTTAAGAGTGTTACATTTTTTTTTAAATGATAAGAGTATTTAAATCAACAAACATTTTCTTCTCATGTTTGACATTTTAACAAAGTAATTACAGTTTTTTCATACTTTATACAAATTCATAGTCACAGAGAAAGGGCTAAAATGCAAGTTTGTGTGCATGTGTCTGTGTAACTGTCTAAAGTCAGATGGGTTAATCCACATATTGATTTATTTTGTCAGACAATATAATATAATAATATTAAAAGACTCAACAAAGATGTAAATAGTCCTGCACATTATCCACTGTAACATCGAGCTTGACACATCAGTAATTCTACACAAACAAGATATAAATGTTAATGTGTTGTATTTAGACGTGCTGGTCAGAGTGCTTTAAGCTGTTTACCCTCTGGTTTCTAGTCTTTATGCTAAGCTAAGCTAACCGGCTGTTGACTGTAGCTTCAAACAGAAAGTGGTATCAATCTTCCAATCTAACTAAACTTGTAAACTATAATAAAATGAGAAAATTCTACAATGTCCAACTCTTTATTACTCTCTCCTAATATTAGTGTGTGTGAGAGCGCTGCAGCTGACCTGATCATACTCCGAGGCCCCCGGATAAAGCGGCCATCCCAAAAACAGCTCAGCGATGACACATCCCAACGACCACATGTCGATCGCCTCACAGAAAGGAAGGCCCAGAATAATCTCCGGAGCTCTGAAAGCACAACACAGTAGTATGTTAAAAAGACAAAAGAGCAGGTCATTTACATAATATTCAAGAAAAGGCACGTTTTTTTTATATAGTGCTTTGTAGAGGGGGGAGTGTGTGAGGGAGAAACTAAGGGACTGTAGTCTTTGCAGACCATTTACATGCAGAAAAATATATACAACACACTACAGGAAATGGAAATTGCCCAAAAGCAAAATAGGGCCTCTTTAAGTGCCTTTTAAACCAGCAGTGCTAATTTAAAACCGATTATTTGACCCACAGGAAACCACTTTAAAGACCTCAGAACCGTGTTGATGTGATCATCTTCCAAAGCTGTAACGCAGAGGTGTCCAAACTGTTTTCACCGAGGGCCACATACAGAAAAATATACGAAGGGCTGGGCCCACTCACTAGAGAGCCTCATAAGTTCAGTTATTATAAGTAGGAAAAATCAATCCAAAGTAGCTCAATTATTCTTGATACTTGAAAATGCTGTCACAGCTCTCCAGAGCCACTTCCTTTAAGCAGAAGCTTCAGATTGCTTATAATAAGGGGAAATATGAACAGTAGACTTCAAGCTTGATATGTAATGAAGTTATTGGGCTTTTTTCTTATCAAGTTAGATTTGTTAGAACATGTTTTCAACTTTAATTGACTGAATTTATTTGAGAATTGGGCTTATTAACAGATGAATACTCTGTAATATATTTGAACATATATACAAGCTGAAGTTTATCATACTCAAGTGATTATATTTTTTTAATTAGCTGAGGGCCAATTCAAAATGGTTCGCGGGCCGCATTTGGCCACCGGGCCGTAGTTTGGACACCCCTGCTCTAACGGTACAGTCCAGGGTGACTCACCTGTAGTATCGAGACTGCAGGTAGGTGGAGCAAACGGCTTTGGACACGTGGCTGGCGGAGCCGAAGTCGATGACCTTGACTCGGTACGGCTGCCTCAGAGGGTCGACCAGCATGATGTTCTCCGGCTTCAGGTCGGCGTGGATCAGCCCCAGGCTCTTCAGCTTCATCAGGGCCGTGGCCACCTGCTGCAGGATGGGCCGGATGCACTTCAGCAGCAGCGGGCTGAACTTGCTGTGCTTCAGGAAGTCGTAGAGGTTCTGCTCCAGCATCTCAAACACCAGGCACGTGTGGTTCTTGTGCTGGAAACACTCGTAGGAGCGGACGAAGTTGAACTCGTCGGCGTTCTCTGTGCTCAGTCTGCTCAGGATGCTCACCTGCAGGAGAGAGGGGGAGGAACATGGAACATGTATTGTGCTTATGAGATAATGATATGGATGGAATGTCTTGAAATGGCAATTCTTTCCATCTGAGTTGTTCTTAACTTTATCTTAGATGGCTGTGGTGAAGTGGTTTGTAAAGGCTTTTTTCTGTACATCTACAGGTTTGAAAAACAAGCTAGATATCCGGTTTATAACTGGATAGAAGGGAGTGTCGGAGCTCCGTGTGAATAACAACCATGTTTACTGGATACTCTGAGGCGTTGTACTGTCAAATAAAAATACATTAATTATGCAGAGGGAAAAACGTTCACCTGAATGGATTTTGGCTTCTTATTATTTTACTGCTATTTGGTATAATCATTTTATGGGACACACAAATATTTTAGGGACTATAGTTTCCATGAAACCATAGGGGGAAACAAGCCTCTTGGCTTCTTGTTTACTTTACATTTTGTTCCTAGGTTGGCAATAGTCACCTGTCTGCTTTTGTGTGAGCAGGCCCTAAACTAGCATTCATGTCTTATTGAAGCCGTCATTACAACAAGAAAACTCAGATTTGTGAGGAAAATGGAAACCCCCTACAGTATATGTATGTTATATTGTCGCTGCAGAGCATGGAGATCTTTCCCATCAACACCATCCATTTTATCTGACGTGAACATTATGCTGTCATGGACCACGTTTCTTTGCCTTTATGTGTGTACATTTTGGCTATTTGGCACCTTTAAGTCATATTGAATTAGATTTGAGCAGTTCCTGTCTGCACCCTACACTGTGGATTCATACAACCTTTCTGGATGACTTTAATAATGAAAAAAAATTACTTTCTTTGGGAAAGGTTTATCGGATGCTAAGAGTCAAATAATTGAAAATACTACCTTTTCTAGAGTTTTCATTTCATTTAAAAAAAAAAATACTCACTTCTATTTGACCCTGCCGAGCGTAAGACGGGTGGTTCTTCAAGATCTTGATCGCCACGATCTCGTTCGTGCCTCGCTTCCAGCATTTGGCCACCTGTCCGAAGGTGCCTCGCCCAAGGAACTCCAGCACCTCGTAGCTGTTGGCCATGGAGCACAGGATCTCGTGCTGCACCAGCTGGTAGTCGCCCTCGCTGTGGGAGGAGCTGCTCTTGGTGGTGGAGGTGGAGTGAGCTATGGACTGCGCTGTGGTCGTCCCCCCTCCCCCTCCTCCTCCACCTCCACCCGTTCGGTTTGACACCACGGGGGCCGAAAGCTCCTCCAGGATCTGAACGCTGTCGCTGCTGTCAACCTCCTCGCTCTTCCTCTTCAGGCTGTGCTGCTTGTGGTAGAGGGAGGAGGACTCTGCATCCTTTATACGGCGGCTGGAGGAAGAGGAGGAGGAAGAGGAGGAGGGAGGTCCGCGTACGCTACCTGTAAAAGTCAGTAAGTCAGTCAAATGTATTTATAAAGCGCTTTTCACAGACAAAGTCACAAAGTGCTGGACAAAGCATTAAAACATCATACGAATAAAGATGTGCTAAAAACACAATACACAATAAAAACACAATAAACAATAAAAACATAAATAGAATAAAAGCACACAAACGCCTGCCCAAACAGGAATGTCTTTAAATGACATTTACCGGGCCGTACGCTACCTGTGCTGTCGGCCGCTCGGACCACCGTCTGCTCCCGGGAGCCGGATGAAGGCGGGGGGGGTCCCTGGTTGGAGTTGTACACCGGGTTGAAGTTTGATCCGGAGCTGGAGGTGGAGGGGGCGGCTCCCTGGGAGGGGCTCTGCTGGAGGTAACCATTGTCCCCCGGCTGGCTGGAGGCTTCCCAGGTGGGGGGGTTCTCCACTTTCAGCCTCTTGGAGCGGGAGTGGGCCGTGGAGGAGACGGAGGGAGAGGAGAACACCTGCAGCTGAGACGCCATGTCTGCAGGTTGAAGATCAGCAGAAACCATCAGAAGTGTGTCAAGAAAACTTTATATTGTGTAGATAAATAGATAGATAGATAGATAGATGATAGATAGATAGATAGATAGATGATAGATAGATGGATTGATTAGTAATTTATTGATCCCAATTTGGGAAATGTTTGCGTTGCAGCAGCATAAAAAACAAGGCAATGTACATAAGAGAAATTAAGACACTAGAAATAAACAATCCAAAATATTTCTGAAGTAGAAATAAAATAGCATTAAAAAGTAAAAAAATATATTGTATGTATTCTTGGTGAGAAATGTATTTTCTACTATAGATATGTATATGGTAATTGTATTTTTATTGTATTGTGTTTATACTTTATTCCACCTTTTAAACATGTTAATGTCTGAACACATTGCTTCTGTGACAAATAATATCCCAATTTGGGATCAATAAAGTATCTATCCATCTAGAAATGAGAGATTTGAGAGTTTATCCTTTACGGATGAGGATTTAGAAAATATATCAAATGGATCAAATTAATCGAGTAGTCAAACAACAGAAAAAAATATTCAGTAAATATAATAATTAAATATTGTTCGGGTCATTCTTGAAGTAAAAATATTCAGGCTTCCTAAATGTTAAATGTTTAATGCTTTTTCCTATCTTATATTATAAATACATTACAGAATACAAAAAAAGTAATATTATTATTATAATTATTGATATTTGATGGGTATTTTCGACTATTTTCTGATATCCTACATAACAAAGGGTCCATAACTTCAACGGTTCATCAATTAATCCAGTAGAGTAGACGAACAACAGAAACAACAAGAGAATGCAATTCCTGAAGAAATTGCTAGTGGGAATGCTTTATGCTGAAAATCTGACGCTAAACTGCTATGCTGAAATGTAATGTGTAAGAAGAAAGTAAAGAATTTAGATTTAAATGATACATGAACACTGGGGGCTTGAATGTGTGATGAGATGATGATTGATCGCCCTCTCTCTCTTCTCTTGATCGCCCTCTCACAGGAGAACACTTCACTGTAGGGTTTCTGCCATGTCTCCACTTTAGTTTGACTCTCTCTCTTCTCTCTCTCTTCTCTTGCTCGCCCTCTCTCTCTTCTCTTGATCGCCTCTCTCTCTTCTCTTGATCACCCTCTCACTCTTCTATCACCCTCTCTCTCTTCTCTTGATTGCCCTCTCTCTTCTATCGCCCTCTCTCTCTTCTCTTGCTCGCCCTCTCTCTTCTCTTGATCGCGGTCTCTCTTCTCTTGATCACCCTCTCTCTCTTCTCTTGATCACCCTCTCACTCTTCTATCACCCTCTCTCTCTTCTCTTGATCGCCCTCTCTCTCTTCTCTTGATCGCCCTCTTGATCTTTCATCCAACGGCATATGATGACACCCCATAATTGACATAGAGCTGTTGAGGGCAGGACCATTACCAGGGCTGCACATAACTGGTGCGCATGCGCACCTCCGCCAAAAAAAGAGCACCGGGTCATTTGAAAAAACGCGCATTTGCGTACCAACTAGGGGTGGGCGGATCGATCCCAAAATATCGATACTTCCGATATTACGTTACGTTTCAAAATATCGATACTAGAGCCAATAGGATCGATACTTTTATACTTTTTTTCCCGTCTCCTCTACTCGTCAATTTCTTCAAAAAACTATGTGCAGACGAACACAAGTATATGCTCTTTTCTTCTCTCTCCACTGCTGTCCTCCTCTCCTCGAGGCTCGCGCACGCGCAGCGCGCTCCCTGCCTTAACGCCGATTATCAAGCTGACTGACAGCAGCCAGCAGGGCAGGACAGCAGCAGCCAGCGACTCGCGAGTGCAACACACACACGCGCATGATGGCTGAGAGAAAGAGCAGCGTTGTGTGGAGCAATTTCACAACTGGCAATTCAAACTTAGCGAACTGTGATGTGTGCAAGAAGACAGTTCGCTACTCTGGACACTTTGTCTTGTAATATTTCATGTTTGCACTTTAAATTTGCAAAAGTAAAAAGTTTATTCGTCGATAAAAACTGTCCTGTCTTTATTCATGAAAATGAATTCAGCAGACGAGTCTAGTTTAGTCTATTTATGATGCTTTCAGCTCAAAAATCATGTCATGCAGCTCTCCCCTATATTAAAGTACATAAGATGCTTTTCATTAAAAAAAGTATCGATATCGGTATCGGCGATACTGGCCCCTGAAATACTTGGTATCGGATCGAATCCAGATTTTGTGGTATCGCACACCCCTAGTACCAACATTGAGAGAGAGAGAAAGGGAGAGAGAGAAGAGAGAGAAGGGAGAAGGGAGAAGAGAAAACAGAAAACAGAGAAGAGAGGAGAGAGAAGAGAGAAGAGAGAAGAGAGGAGAGAGGAGAGAGAGAGAGAGAGAGATATTTGCGAGTTGCATATTAACTCAGGGCCGGCCCGTAGCACTCGCGTTATAGATGTTCGCCTAGAGCGCCAGATCTGGGGAGGCGCTACGCTGGCAGCTCTGGGAGGGAAAAAAACATGTTTGACCGTTGGGGCNTGCGCTATAAAAAAAGTGTACATGTTTTGTAAAGTGTACATGTTTTGTTTTAAAATAACTGCCATGTGTGGAATAAACAAACAAATACATAAAAAAAAGGGTCACCTTTTTTTTATGTATTTGTTTGTTTATTCCACACATGGCAGTTATTTTAAAACAAAACATGTACACTTTACAAAACATGTACACTTTTTTTATAGCGCATGCTGGAAAGGAGCAAGGAGAAGAAAATCTTATTTTACCTGCCCCTTCTTTAAAAAAAAAAAAAAGAACACCAAACCCTATCTCTGTTGTTTCAGGTACAGCAGTCTGTGATGTCATCTTCCCTCGACCCAACAGGAAGCAGTATCATCCTGAGGAGGCAGCCCACCTACCCTCCTCCCGTCTCCTCCCACTCGTCCTTCCTGCTCCACGAGAACCCCCTCTTCAGCTCCGCCCCCAACCTGTACGCCTACCCTGCCTCCGCCGCCCTGGCCTCCGTCTCGCAGGCTGTGGACCAGATGCAGGGGGGCCGGGTCGGGGGGGCCTTCTCCTCCCTGGCGCTGCTGCAGAAGACCGGCAGCCTGGGGGTCTCTCCGGCACAGTACGGTAACCAAAGCCTCCAGCAGGGGGTGCCGCCTTTTCACCACGCCACTGCTACTTACCAGAGAAAACTCAACCAGTTCCCCTACCTGTAAACACCAAATGACCGAGACTAGAGACGAGCACAAGCTCATCACAAGCGGCTTATTTTACATTTTCTGTCTTTTTTTTTTTTTAACGCATCGTATTATCTTAAAATGTGTTCAAACTTTGTTAAACATTTAATTTATTTATATTTTAATCATGGTCTGTTTTAAAATCTTTTCCAACGTTTTCGTGTTTTTGTGTTGCATACATACAGCCAGTTAACAGTTACAGTGCAGTCTGCAAGTATGTACTTATTTACAGATGTATTATTGTGTTGGCTCTGCACTCCAATACATTAGATTTTACAATGAAACAACAAGTATAAGCTTAAAGTGCTGACGTCTGGCTTTAATTTAAGGTTGTTTACACGCAGACCAGATGAAGCAAGTAGGAATTGTAGCCCTTTTTTGTACAAAGTCCCTAAATGTTAAGGGACTAATCATACAGCTGCACTTCTACTATTCTAGATAGTTTGCTAACATGTTGAGCCCCATTTTTTTACTTTATTTGAGAGAGAAGTGTTGAGGAGCAACTGGAACTTGACTACTTGCTGTGCTGTCCAAAAATTTTATTATTATTTTGTATCTTTATTGTAATCTATATTAAGTCACAAACCCAATCGCCTTACCTGTTTAATCCGTTTATTGATTGTTTTTTTACTTTAATGTCAGCAGATTGTGATACGTTAGGCGTTTTAAAGTTTCATTTATGAACGTGTGTGTGTGTGTTTTATCTGTATCTGGATGAAGTAAGCTGTGTCTGATAATGTTCTTTAAATGTTTTCCATGTTAATTATGTTTTAGCGCTGGCTATATACTTGATTATGTATATGTGTAGGACATAACATTATATAGGGTGTGGTATTACAGTAAGAGGGGATTGTCGTGTTTTTTTTACAGTTTTAAATGTATTCTTAAGGTTGCATGGCTCTGACATGGAGTAGCATTCAGGAGAGGTGCGTACAAACTGCATCTGCATTGATTTTCATCGTCGCTTGTAGACAAATATACATGTCATATTTAATTTGCGGGACAAACACATTAAGGATATTGGTAAATTGTTAAACCTGTGTCTTGTGAAGTGATGTCTGTGATATTAAAATGTGTGCATCAAAATCTGATTGGGCATCACACTATCACATCAAAGCTAATGATGATATATAAAAATACAAATGTATGTTCAATGTGTAACTGCTTATAAACAACTCATTGGTTTGGTGAAATGGTGGCTTTTGCTGTGTTGTGAAGTGCTACGTTACATAAAACACTCAATGGACCTTAACCCGTATATACGCAATAAAATATTCTCAAAACAGAACTTGAGACTCATTGATGATTAAACTGAAGGATTGTTTTCAAATTACACAAACTCATATACTGTACATCCTAATGAAATACAGAATCCAACAGAGAATGATAGTCTTATCCTACACTTGCATCACTACGGAAGAGGATTAGGGCCACGTGACATTTTCATTTGAGTTCTGACCGAAAGTGTATTTGTTTTTTAGATCTGAGAAAATAAGTAAAAAGCTAAGAAAACAATAGTCAGAGTAAGAATTTTAAAAAAAAGTCTGAATTCGAAAAGAAGTCAGAATAATAAAAAGTATTAAAGGTCCCATGTCATGCTTTTCTGGTTATTACCCGTCCCCTTGTGTGTTATGAAGGTTTGGCAGGGAAAGGGAAACGGGGTTCAGGGGGAGTGGCTGTACCCGTAGGATAGAAAAGGGGGAAGTGACGTCTGACTCAGAGGTCGCGCGGCTGTGGAGAAGAACGTGTTGCCCACATTCTGTTACTGA